CGCATAGGGGGAGCGGGGATGGAAGACAACTGGATGGAGCTTTTTGCTTTGTGTGAAGAATGTGTTGGGTGCAAATTCACATTGCACGACATCCTGCCGTCTGTTTGTACGAGTATGCGTGTGCGAATGCATTTGCGTGTGAATGGTATGTTTGTGTGTTTGTTTGCTTTCGCAATTTTCGCTTGAAGCATTTGCAGGTACTCGCAAAATGTGCGCTTCGGCATAACATTGTACGCGCTATGAACAGTACAAGCAGAAAGGACGAGCTCGCAAAGGAACCCAAGATGGAAGCTTTGCGGTTCAACTTACTTGATTGCGCAGATTCAGTTCTATCCAACTCGAAATTGTACTGTTTTGTTTGGTTGTCTATAGTGTAGCAGGGCAGGCACTATAGGGGTACAATTTAGGTGAAGGTTGGATGTTGTTTGTCTGTATCTGCATGCTACAGGGCCAGGGGAAACCAGCGGAACCAGCATTTGGCTGGTTGGGCAAAGACAAAACAGGTTCTGTTTTTAGGACCTGAACCTGGTTGTTGTTTTCCCAGGTTGGAAAAACAGAACCAGAGGTTGTTCACCAACCTATCACCTGCTATTTTGTCCAGCCAGGTTGGTTCTGTTGCTTGGAATTATTTGGGATCATCCCTGGTTGTTCCCAGGTTGATTCCCAAGGTCCTTGCTAGCTAGAGCTATTTATTCCTTCTCTGTTTGTACCTGAATATAGTGAAATTGATTCAAGCAAATTCCTTCCTTGCTGGAATTTCTTGTCTACGCGGTGCGACGGCGGAATGCTACCCGAGTCAACGCTAGTACGCTAGCACTCCAACGCTAGGCTAACGCTGTCCGAGCCATAACTTCGTAATGGCAGAACTTTTCGCGAGGCAACTTGGCTTATTTTAAAGCTCTTAGAGTGAGCTTCGATATAGGAAATTCTCAGCTTAATCCGATCGACGGTCTGCACGATACGCTGCGCGACGTTCAAGGTACTCTTGCTGTTTTGACTAAGTCCCTCTTGATTCCTCTCTCTACAAACTCGGACCCGAGGATAGGGGCTGGTCTTGTACCAGGCACCCAAGGACCCTTGGAGGTGACCCCGAGGAGAGGTTTTAAGTGTGATAAAGTCTTAATAGCTTGAGTTTATTAGGCCCTTACACCAACAGAATGCATGTTTGTTTCCTTGCAGGTTGGATGCCCGAGCCAGTTGGAGTTACAGGTGCGAGCTGGAGGTCAAGCAGTGGGGCGGCTAAGTGGCGGTGGCAAGGGTATGAGAAGGCTGTCCTTTTGCTTCGGTGGGAGGCCATCCCCTTCGAAGGGCGTTAACGGTGTAGCAATAGGGGGAGGAAGTAGGCTAGGATATAGGGGGTACGGGCATGTGACTCTGCATTGTTTGTATGTCCTGTAATACTCATGTGATTGCTTAGCATCAGGTGGGGGTGAGCGGCAGGCCATAACAAACTCTGGAGATATGGAGAAGTGAAGTAGTTGGCGCTCGTTGATGAATGTAAGTTAGCTGCTTGAGCTTATCTAGGGAATACTACGAATCAAAAGGAGTAAAGTCAGCAGTGAGATTACATCAAGCAAGCAAGCAGGAGGGAAAGACTTCAGAGGCAGGTGCCAGCTTAGCCAGAGAACAAGGGGGAATGGTACATAAGAAATGAGAGATCTGACAGCGAGCGGGGTTGAGAGAAGGGAGAGGTAGGGGAGGGGCATCAGGACAAGGAGAGGTAAGGGAATTTCCGACACGTATGAATGGTATGTTCGTGTGTTTGTTTGCTTTCGCAATTTTCGCTTGAAGCATTTTCAGGTACTCGCACAATGTGCGCTTCGGCACAACATTGTACGCGCTATGAACAGTGCAAGCAAAAAGGACGAGCTCGCAAAGGAACCCAAGATGGAAGCTTTGCAGTTCGGTCGAATTGATTGCGCAGATTCAGTTCTATCCAACTTGTAATTGTACTGTTTTGTTTGGTTAACTATAGTGTAGCAGGGCAGGCACTATAGGGGTACAATTTAGGTGAAGGTTGGATGTTGTTTGTCTGTATCTGCATGCTACAAGGCCACGGGAAACCAGCGGAACCAGCATTTGGCTGGTTGGACAAAGACAAAACAGGTTCTGTTTTTAGAACCTGAATCTGGTTGTTGTTTTCCTAGGTTGGAAAAACAGAACCAGAGGTTGTTTTCCAACCTACCACCTGCTGTTTTGTCCAGCCAGGTTGGTTCTGTTGCTTGGAATTATTTGGGATCATCCCTGGTTGTTCCCAGGTTGATTCCCAAGGTCTTTGCTAGCTAGAACTATTTATTCCTTCTCTGTTTGTACCTGAACATAGTCAATTTGATTCAACCGACCATACAACAAGTGGGATCGTGCATGGTTTTGAGGCAAAACTGTTGTGGTTTGGTTTCCCACCGCACAATTTTGTCTAGAAACATCGAACATGACAGCAGTGATGGGGATGTTGCCGTGCGGCGCAATCACAGCCGCATGCGCTGCGTGGCATGTGCATTTCTTCCGAACCCTCTCAAAGGATGGGGAAGATTCCCTGCCAGCGCAGCATATATGCTGCCACGCAGGTTCCTCTACGGGGGTAGGCGGGGTTTCCCGCCTGTTATTGACGACGACCCCGAGCCGCCAACCCTACGTGGTGCCCGACGTTGCCGATTTATGCACCCTCCTCTTTATTTTTTTCATTCAGTTTCCAGTCTAGCCCGCCTGGCTGGCGAAGCCATGGAGGAATTGAGTGGGACGCAATTCCTCTTCAAGAAGAAACCAACTCACCCGTGGCGACTTACCGCGGACGGGTGGTATACCTGTGAGCCACCAGCGCCTCCAGTGCCACCTGCACCCCCTGCACCGCCTGCTCCGCCTGCTCTTCCTACACCTCCTGCTCCTCCTGCTCCTCCCGTTCCTTCGAATCCTCCGAATCCTCCTGTTCCTGATGCGAGTACTTCTCATCAATGGCCCGCGCTCCATCTGTTTTACCAGCCACTTTCGACAAGTGGCTGTCTGAACTAAACACACCCACGGCCCCCAATGTGTTCGTTCAGGCTCCGCCGCTTGCACCGCGGTGGGGAATTCCTTAAGCTTGCATGTGGGACGAGTCGGCTGTGGGCGCCAATAAACATAACACCGGCGACGGCGACGGCGGAGGCGACGGTGGAGGCGACAGTGGAGGCGACGATGAAGAGGGCGCCGAGGAGGACGTGTTCCCAGATTGCGATGCAACTGACATGGATGATGATGGTGTGGAATCTTGGTGGCGTGACGCACCACGCGAGAAGATGACAATACCAACGTATCCACCGATTAACAAAAAACGACCCCACTCCTCCTCTGAGTACCGAGATGCCTGCCCCCCCTCTCCTAGGCACAAGCCTGTCAGATTATCATAGCTTACTTATTTGTGTAGGCTATAGTGGGGTATCATATAGGGGGTACAACCCAACTAGGGTTTCCTATTTGTACTCACTTCGTTCATAGTCATTTCAATCTCGTTCTAACTTTCTCATGGTATCGAGCAGGTTCCCCCGTGGGAACTGTGCTTAGGGCCCACCACATCGAACCTTTTTATTTTCTGCCCGGAGCGCGCTCCGGGCCCTTGCTCTTACTTTTTTTTTTCGATCTGCCCTAACGGCCCGAGCGCCGCCTTAGCGCGCCGCCCGCCCTAGCAGCCCGAGCGCCGCCTTAGCGCCCTAGCGCCCGCGCGCTGCCCGCCCTCGCGCCCTAGCGCTCTCGCGACCCGCTGCCCGCCCTAGCGCCATCGCGCCCTAGCGCCCGCACTCTGCCCAGAGCCGCCCGTGCGCCACCCAGAGCCGCCCGTGCGCTAGCCGCACGACGCGCCAGCCGCCCGACGCCCGCTAGCCGCCCGACGCCCGCTAGCCGCCCGACGCCCGCTAGCCGCCCGGCGCCCGCTAGCCGCCCGTCGCCTGCGAGCCGCCCGACGCCCGCTAGCCGCCCGTGCGTCGCCCTCAGCAGCCCGACGCGCCGCCCGTGCAGCCGCCCGTACAGCCGTCCGTGCAGCCGCCTGTGAACCGCCCGTGCAGCCGCCCGTGCAACCGCCCGTGCTGCCGGCCGACGCGCCACCCGTGCAGCCGCCCGTGAGCCGCCCGTGCACCGCCCGTGCACCCGCCTGTGCAGCCGCCCGTGCAGCCGTCCGTGCAGCAGCCCCACGAGCCGCCCGTGAGCCGCCCCAGCCGCCCGTGCAGCCGCCCGTGAGCCGCCCGCGAGCCGCCCGTGAGCTGCCCGCCACGACGCCCGCGCCGCCCGTGAGCCCCAGCGTCACCCGAGCCACACGAGCCGCCCGAGCAGCAGAGCCGCCCGAGCCGCCCGAGCTGCTGCGTGCCCGAGCCGCCCGAACCAACCGAACCGCCCGAGCCGCCCGAGCCGCCCGAGCCGCCCGAGCCGTCTGAGGTGCCGAGCTCCTGCTCCTGTGGGGCTGCTACTGCTCCTGAGCCGGCGGAGTTGCTGTGCTGCTGTGTTGCTGTGCTGCTGAGCGACCCGACCCTTCCTGTCCGGTAAGACTGTCAGCTGCTATCATGGCCACCCCCAGTGTCCTGGCTTTTGACGCTGAGGGTCGCGCCATTGACTTTGCGGTCTAGGTCGACGACCTGCAGCTGTACTTGATTTGCAATACGGTAGATGAAGTTTCTCTCTTTGACTTTGTCTCTGGCGCTGTCCCTGCCCCTCCTGCTGATGCTGACCCCACTGTGCGCTCCAAGTGGGCCTCACGCGATGCTGCTGCACGTCTTGCTGTGCGTCGCCACCTCCCTTCCTCCGAGCGCGCACACTTTAGTCAGTGCAAGACCGCTCAGGCCTTTTACGACGCTGTAGTTGCGCGCTACTCATCCCCTTCCTCTGCTACACTGAGCCGCCTCATGCTACCGTACCTCTTCCCTGACCTTGCTGCCTTTCCTACAGTCGCTGACCTCTTTACCCACCTTCGCGCTAGTGACACTCGCTACCGAGCTGCGCTTCCTGCTGCCTTCTGCGCCGAAAACCCCCCTCCCATGTACATCACCCTCTACTTTCTAGTCACCCGTCTCCCTGAGTCCCTTCGTGCTGTTAGGGACCAGTTTCTCTCTGTCTGTCCCACCACCCTCACTGTCAACCTCCTCGAGAAGTCCCTGCTAGCGGCCGAGAAGAGCATAGTCGCTGTAGGGGCCTCTCGTGGTGACCCCCGCACCCCCATCTTTGAGGGGTGTTCTCCTTCCCCCCTGTTACCCTCTGTCGCCTCTGCTGCTGCGGCCGACCTCGTTGGTCTAGAGTCGGTCGGTGCGGCATCTGCCCCCAGCGGTAGGCGCCGCTCTGGCAAGGGCAAGGGGGGCAAGGGAGCGGGTGGAGCTAGCGGGGGCGGTAGCGGAGGAGGTGGGGGCGGCGGGGGGAGTGGGGGTGGCGGTGGAGGTGGTGGCGGGGGTGGAGGTACTAGTGGCGGCAGTGGAGGCGGAGGTGGCGGCGGAGGTGGCGGTGGAGGTGGCGGTGGGAGCGGCGGGGGCGAGGGCGGCGGTGGCGGCGGTGGCGGCGGAGGCGGGGGTGGCGGTGGTGGAGGTGGTCGGAGTGGCTCGTCCCAGCGGAGCAGCACTGGGGGTGGTCAGCGCCAGCAGCAGCAGCAGCAGCAGCAGCAGCAGCAGCAGCAGCAGCAGAAGCAGCGCTCTCGCGACGTCCCCGCCCCTCAGCAGCTCCGTGAGTGGTACTCGCAGCGTCAGCGTGGTGGGGCGTTCGGTCCCTGCACCTACGTCCTTCGCACCGGCGACCGCGCGGGTGAGCAGTGTGGGGGCACCCACACCGCCCGCCGCTGCTTTGCCCGCTTGACCGACGCTTGGCGCCAGCAGTTTCCGGAGGCCTCTGAGATGTAGCTATCTTTGATCTTGACTTTGATGCTATCCTTGCTGCCATGTATGCTGTGACTGTTAGTGATGAGGGTGACTGTTACCGGTGTTTCCCGCCCGACCCGGGCATTGGTACTGCTGCGGCAGGTGCCAGTGAGGCTTCTGCTCTAGGTGCCAGTGCGTCTGTGCTCTCAGGTACTAGTGAGTCTGCACTCTCAGGTACTGTGTCGGCTTCGGCCTCTCACACCTTCACCCTTGACTCTGGGGCGTCTCGCTCCTTCTTTCGGGACCGCACCACTCTCACGCCGCTTAGTCGGCCGGTTGCGGTGTCCCTGGCCGACCCCTCTGGGGGTCCTGTCCTGTCTCGTTTCTCCACAGTCCTCCCGTGTCCGGTGGCTCCCTCTGGCACCCTGACTGGTCTCTACCTCCCCTCGTTCTCTACGAACCTGGTGAGTGGTGCTGACCTACAGGATGTGGGTGTCCACCAGTTCACTCCTGCTCGTCAGCGGGTGACACACTGCACAGAGGCTAGCACAGGTCGCCACCTGGCTACGTTTACACGTCAGTCAGGGTCGAGCCTGTACACACTGACCACTGCTTCTCCTCCCGGTGCTGAGTCTGGTAGAGTCCCTTCGTCTGGTCAGGTGTTTGCTGCAGCGTCCAGGTCTGGTCCTGAGTCTGCCCCCTGTTCGTGTCGCCGTCTGTCTCACGAGACTCTCCTCTGGCACCACCGCCTTGGCCACCCCTCTCTGCTTCGGCTCAGAGGCATGGCCTCCCGTCTTCTTGTGTCTGGTCTCCCCCGGTCCCTCCCTCCCCTTCCTCAGGGCCCTGGCCCTGCCTGTGTCCCCTGTGTCGAGGGGCGCCAGCGTGCTGCCCCTCACTCCTCCCAGTTTCCTCCGACAGAGGCTCCGTTGCAGACACTTCACATGGACGTGTGGGGCCCTGCCCGCGTCCGTGGACTCGGTCACGAGCGCTACTTCCTGTTGGTGGTTGACGACTACTCGCGTTACACCACAGTCTTCCCCTTGCACAGCAAGGGTGATGTCACTGAGGTGCTGATCGACTGGATCCGCGCAGCTTGTCTCCAGCTCAAGCAGAGCTTTGGCTCGGACTTTCCTGTGTTGCGTCTGCACTCGGACAGAGGCGGAGAGTTCTCCTCTGGCCTTCTGCGTGCCTTCTGTCGTGCGCGAGGCATCCGCCAGACCTTCACGCTTCCGGACTCACCGCAGCAAAATGGGATTGTAGAGCGCCGCATTGGCATGGTCATGGACGTCGCTCGTACGTCTATGATGCATGCGGCTGCCCCCCATTTTCTGTGGCCGTTTGCGGTCAGGTACGCGGCGCATCAGATCAACCTCCACCCCAGGGTCTCCAGGCCGGAGACCTCCCCAGCCCTGCTGTGGACGGGGAAGGTTGGCGATGCGTCGGCGTTCCGGGTCTGGGGATCTCGGGCGTTTGTCCGCGACTTGTCTGCGGACAAGCTGTCCCCTCGCGCTGCTCCTGCTGGGGGTACTGGTGCTGTCCCTGTTGTTTCAGGCGTCGCCACGCGGCCCCGACCGTCTTCGTTCCGCTCCTGCAGCAGGTTCTTGGTCTTACACCTTCTCCTGGTCCTCCTCCTCCTCCCTTAGAGGGTCCACAGCCTCTCCAGTCCCTGTCACAGCTACAGCCTGCCTCCCCTTTGCCTGCTCTTTCTCCCTACGCTGGTCCGACTGGAGGTCTTACTGAGCGTCGTGAGCCTGCGTCTCGTCCTGCGTCGCCTGTTCGTCCTGCACGCACTAGTGGTCGCGGTTCGCGCCAGCGTCCTCCTGCTGTCCCTGGCACGCACTGGATGTCTCTGCGTCCGTCCACAGCTCCTCTGCGTGCCCCTTTGCCTTCTCCGCCTGCTTCCTCTCTTCCTGCTCTTGCCGACCCGGAGTCGGACTCTCTTCGTGCTGCCAGTCCTACTGTCACACGTCTCTTTGCTAATGCTGTCACTGACCCTTCTTTCGAGTCTTCTGCTGCGTCTGCCCTTGTCACTGAGCTCGTCAACTTTGCTGCGCGCTGTCGTCTAGACTACGCTGCTAGTCTTGTCGCTGAGTCTGAGTCTGCCTGTCCTCTGTCCGTCGGGGGTGAGTGTGCCCTTGGCACGGACGTCCTTGAGGACAGGCACGAGGAGGTCCAGTGTCTGGCCGCCGCTTCACCTCATCTCACGTCTGTACTGCTCGCCCCTGTGGGAGACCCGGATGCACTAGACATCCCGACTCCGCGCTCTTACGCGGAGGCGATAGAGGGTCCCTACTCCTCTCAGTGGCAGGCACCTATGGATGCAGAGATGGCTTCCTGGAAGTCCACAGGCACCTACGCTGACGCTGTTCCCCCTCCTGGGGCGAACATAGTCAGTGGCATGTGGATTTTCAGGGTGAAGCGGCCGCCGGGTTCTCCGCCTGTCTTCAAGGCGCGTTACGTGGCTCGTGGCTTCAGTCAGCAGCAGGGAGTTGACTACTTTCAGACCTTCTCCCCTACCCCGAAGATGACCACTCTTCGGGTACTGCTGCACGTTGCTGCTCACCGAGACTACGAGCTGCACTCTCTTGACTTCAGCACTGCTTTCTTGCACGGCAGCCTGCACGAGGAGATCTGGCTGCGTCGCCCACCTGGCTTCACTGAGTCTTTCCCTCCTGGTACCCAGTGGAGTCTCCGGCGTCCAGTCAACGGTCTCCGCCAGGCGCCACGTGAGTGGCACGACACACTGAGGACTACGCTGGCTTGGGTTTGCTCCTTCTACTGCCGACCCGTCGTTGTTTCTGCGCACCGACACCTCTCTGCCGCCGTTCTACATCCTCGTGTACGTCGACGACTTGGTCTTTGCCACTGCTGACACTGCTGGACTCGCCTACGTGAAGTCCGAGCTGCAGAAGAGACACACGTGCACTGACCTGGGTGAACTGCGCAGCTATCTTGGCTTGCAGATCACCCGGGACAGAGCACGCCGCACCATTACCCTGACTCAGTCACACATGGTGCAGCAGGTCCTTCATCGCTTCGGCTTCACGTACTCCTCGCCTCAGGCCACTCCTCTGCCTACTCGCCACTCCCTCTCAGCTCTGCCTTCGGATGAGTCCGTAGAGTCGAGTGGTTCGTAAGCAGAGCTTGTTGGCTGCCTCATGTACCTGATGACCTGCACACGACCTGACCTTGCATACCCTCTTAGCATTCTCGCACGCTATGTTGCTCCTGGGAGACACCGACCAGAGCACATGGCTGCAGCGAAGAGGGTGTTGCGCTACTTGTGCAGTACGTCAGGCATGGGACTAGTGCTTGGAGGGCGCAGTCCAGTGGTCCTCACTGGGCACGCGGACGCTTCTTGGGCTGACGACCAGGCTACGCAGCGGTCGTCACAGGGTTACACCTTCAGCCTTGGTTCCGGCTCTGTTTCGTGGCGGGCTACCCGCTCGTCTTTTGTTCTCGGCTCCAGTTGTGAGGCTGAGATCTACGCCGGGGCTATGGCTGCTCAGGAGCTTCGCTGGCTCACCTACCTGCTGACCGACCTTGGAGAGCCGCCTCGTTCTCCTCCAGTTCTGTACGTAGACAACAAGGCCATGCTGGCCTTGTGTCGAGAGCAGCGACTGGAGCACTGGACAAAGCACATTGCTCTCCGCTACTTTCTTGCTCGTGAGCTACAGCAGCGTGGACAGTTGCGACTTGCGTACGTGGCCTCTGAGGCCAACACTGCTGATGTCTTCACCAAGGCACTTGCGCCTTGTGATCATCAGCGCTGCTGCACGCAGCTGGGTCTTCTGCCTGTCTTGCCTCATTTGCTCACTTCTTGACCTTGCTTGTACCTTGACCTATATATACTCTTGTTCTTGCTTGCTTGACTCTTGTATATCTCTATATATGCTCTTGCATGTGAACTGGCCTTGTGGCCCTTGAACTTGTGCTCGGAATGTGTGGTGACTTTGTGATCCACCCTGAGCTTTGCTTTGCTTTGCTTGACTGGTCTTGTGACCCCTTGTTCTCCCCCACTTTGCCTATGGGGGTGTGTCAGATTATTATAGCTTACTTATTTGTGTAGGCTATAGTGGGGTATCATATAGGGGGTACAACCCAACTAGGGTTTCCTATTTGTACTCACTTCGTTCATAGTCATTTCATTCTCGTTCTAACTTTCTCAAAGCCGACTCAACATAAACGGCAGCGCTACCCCGCCCAGGAGAAACTAAGGTGGTTCGTTTGGCTGGAGCTTGCGGCATCGATAAGCGAGGTCGCGCGAGAGTCCAACATACACCGCAATGCCTGACGAAGTGGAAAACCCAAGCAGATCAGCTCAAGGGTGTACACAGCGCACGGTATCAACTTCATGGGTACGGAAGATCTTCCTGGTACAAACCCATGGAGTTGAAGGTGTACGCCCAACTCCTGGACTGGGGACGCCGCGGTGTGGCAGTATCAGTCGGCCGGCTGCAATAGTGGTCACGCGAGGTGATGAAGGTGTTGTTCCTTGAAGTCAAGTGGAAAAGGAGTCAGCGCTAGTCGGAGCGGTTCCGCAAGCGGTGGAACCTCACCGTGCGAATGAAAACTAAGGTGGCGCAAAAGACATAGCAGCGTAAGTGCCTGTCTGTGCACTGTCATTTGCCCGTGTATCTTTATCTTGTATACGCCCATGTACTTTCATCCGCCCATGTATCTTTATCTTGTATCGGTAGTCACACGCCCTTCTATCTGTCTTTCCCTTCCCGTGCGCAGACGTAGAGAAGCAGTGCAAGGAATTTTGGCAGTACGTCCGCGACGCACGCAACGAGTACGACATCCACAATCGGTACATCATCAACGCTGACCAGACGCCTTTGTGGTTGGAGATACCGACGACTACCACGGTGGAGCAGACGGGCGTGAAGTCGGTGCCCATCCGCAGTGATGCTTACGAGAAAGAAAGAGTCATCGTGATGCTGGCGTGCACGGCGACGGGCAAGAAGTTGAAGCCGTGGGTGTTTTTCAAACGCAAGACACCCCCAAAGGGTGACTTCCCGAACGGTAAGAAGATGTTAATGCGCGTGTTTTGGACGGTTAAAAAAAATAATAACCACCACCTGCTTGTGTGCAGATATTGTGGTCGGCTGCAAAGCGAACGGGTGGAGGGAGGCCGCGGGCGTCATCCAATGGCTCGATGCGGGCGTGGTGCCGTTCCTGAAACCGAAATTTGGCGTGCGGAGCCGGAGCGCCATGCTGGCACTCAACTCCTACCGTGGTCACCTATCACCCGAAGTCGATGCGAGATTCGCGGCGCTCAACATCGCGCCGGCGATCATCCCGGCGGGATGCATGTTAGACTTGCAGCCGCTCAATGTGTCTATAAACAAGAGCTTCAAAGCGAGTGTTCAACCAGGTCTAGTTTCACTGCACCCTAAAACATCACTAGTAAATTGTTGAAACTTAAGTTCTAAGGTAACAACACGTTAATGTATGTATTTGTTGGAAATGAATGAAGAAAATAGCATATTGTCAAACCTATATGCTTTAGTCTGTGTAGGCTCTTGTGGGGTACAACGCTTTTAGGTTTTCCTACTTGTACCCACCTGTTTCCTAGTGCATTCATTCCTCATTTCTTCAGATGGTATAGAGCAGGTTCCCTAGTGGGAACGCTTCCTACGGCCCACCACTGAAAATCAAAAAAAAAAAAAAAAAAAAAAAAATCCTGACCGGAGCGCGAGTCGCCCCTGCCTGAGTCGCGCCCCGTGGGCCGCTCTCTCGTCGCGTCCCCTGCCCTTAGTGGCCCGTCGCGCCCTCCTAGAGGCCCCTCTCACGGCCCCTCGCGCCACCCCTAGCAGCAAAGTCACCACCCTTCGCGGCCCCGTCGTCACACCTAGCGGCCCCGTCGCCGCCCCTCGCGGCCCCGTTTCCGCCCCTCGATGCCCCTTCGCCGCCCGTTACGGCTGCATCGCCGCCCCTAGCGGCCCCGTCGCCGCCCTTCGAGGCCCCTCGCGGCCCCTTCTCGGCCCCGTCGCCGCCCTTTGCGGCCCCGTCGCCGCCCCTAGCGGCCCCGTCGCCGCCCTTCGAGGCCCCTCGCGGCCCCTTCTCGGCCCCGACGCCGCCCCTTCTTGGCCCCGACGCCGCCCCTTCTTGGCCCCGTCGCCGCCCCTAGCGGCCCCGTCGCCGCCCTTCGAGGCCCCTCGCGGCCCCTCCTCGGCCCCGTCGCCACCCTTCCCTGCCCCTTCTCGGCTACTCCGCCACCAGCAGCAGCCGCCGCCAGCAGCAGCCGCCGCTGCCTCCAGCAGCAGAAGCCGCCGCCAGTAGCGGCGGCCGTCACCAGCAGCAACCATCGCCGCCGAGAGTCGCGACTGCCGCCGCCACTGACAGCAGGAGCTGCCGCCGCGGTCGCAGCTCTGTCCCTGCCGACGTGCCTCGGCCGTGCCCCACCGCTTGCCGGCCCCCTACCTACCTGCCTAGTAAGAGCAGTGCCGAGCCACGCCTGCTACTGCTGCCCCTAGCCTGCTGCCACTGCTGTCATGGCTACCCCTAGCATTCTAGACTTTGATGCTGAGGGTCGGGCTGTTGACTTTGAGGTCTGGGTCGATGATCTACAGCTTTTCCTCCAGTGCGATAGGGCAGACGGACTCTCCCTGTTCGATCTCACCTCTGGTGCCTCTCCTGCCCCGCCTACTGATGCTGACAGCACTGTTTGCTCACAGTGGGCCACACGCGATGCTGCTGCCCGCCTTGCTGTGCGTGGCCACCTACCGACCACTGAGCGTGCGCACTTTAGTCAGTACAAGAGTGCTAAGACCTTGTACGACGCTGTAGTTGCACGCTACTCTTCCCCTGCCACTTCTGCCCTTAGCCGCCTCATGCTGCCGTACCTGTTTCCTGACCTCGCCGCCTTTCCCACAATCGCTGACATCATTACGCACCTTCGCACTAATGACACCCGCTACCCCGCTGCGCTTCCTGCTGAGTTCCGCGCCAAGAACCCCCCCCCCCCATATACATCACCCTCTACTACATAGTCACCCGGCTCCCTGACTCCCTTCGCTCAGTCAGGGACCACTTCCTCTCTATTTGCCCCACCACACTCACCGTTGACCTCCTCGAGGAGCGCCTCCTGGCAGTTGAGAAGAGTATAGTCGCTGTAGGAGCCTCTCGTAGTGACCCTCGTGCCCCCTTCTTTGAGGGGTGCTCCCCTTCCCCCCTTTTGCCCTCTGTTGCCTATGCTGTTGCCGTCCACTTCGTTGGCACCGAGTCGGTCGGCGCTGCGTCTGCCCCTAGCGGGCAAGGGCAAGGGGGGCAAGGGCGCTGGAGGGGCTGGCGGGGGCGGTGGAGGTGGCGGTGGAGGCGGCGGAGGGAGTGGGGGTGGAGGTGGGAGTGGTGGTGGGGGTGGGGGCTTCGGTGGCGGCGGTGGAGGCGGAGGCGGCGGCGGCGGTGGCGGTGGGAGGGGAGGAGGAGGCGGTGGTGGCGGCGGCGGAGGTGGAGCTGGTCGGGGTGGCTCTGCGCAGCGTGGCGGCTTCGGTGGTGGTCAGCGCCAGCAGCAGCAGCGCACTCGTGATACCCCGCCCCCCCAGCAGCTTCGTGAGTGGTACGCTGCGCGTCACCGGGGTGGGGGTGCTGGTCCTTGTGCCTACGTCCTGCGTACCGGCGACCGCACTGGTGAGCCGTGCGGTGGCCCGCACACTACCCAGGGCTGCTTCGGCCGCCTGACGGACGCTCGGCGTCTCCAGTTCCCTGACGCCACTGAGATCCCCCGCTGGGGCGAGCTGCTAAGGCCGGGGGTTGCTATCTTTAATCTAGATTATGATGCCATTCTTGCTGCCATCGATGTTGTGTCTACTAGTGATGAGGGTGACTGTTACCTGTGTGTTCCGCTTGACCCAGGCATTGAGGCTGCTGCTCTTGATGCTGGTGAGGCTGCTGCTCTAGGTGCTAGTGCGTCTGCTGCCCCAGGTGCTGGTGAGTCTGCTCTCTCAGGTACCACGTCGGCTCAGGCCTTACACACCTTCACCCTTGACTCGGGTGCTTCCCGCTCCTTCTTTCGAGACCGCACCACGCTTACGCCGCTTAGTCGGCCAGTTGCGGTCTCCCTAGCGGACCCCTCTTGGGGTCCTGTCCTTGCCCACTTCTCAACTGTCTTACTGTGTCCGGCGGCCCCCTCTGGCACCCTGTCAGGTCTCTACCTCCCCTCGTTCTCTACGAACTTGGTGAGTGGTGCTGATCTACAGGATGGGGGGGTTGACCAGTTCACTCCTGCGAGTCAGCGGGTGACCCGCTGTACGTGTTCTCGGACGGATCGACACTTGGCCAAGTTTACCCGTCGGCCAGGGTCGAGCATGTACTCACTGACTACTGAGTCTCCTCCGGTTGCTGAGTCTGGTCAGGTAGCTCCGTCGGGTGTTTGCTGCAGCGTCTAGGTCTAGTCCTGAGTCTGCTCCCTGCTCGTGTCGTCTCCTGTCCCGCCAGACTCTCCTCTGGCACCACCGCCTTGGTCACCCCTCCCTGCCTCGTCTCCGAGGCATGGCCTCCCGTTAAATTGTCTCTGGTCTCCCCCGGTCCCTCCCTCCCCTCCCTCCAAGGCCTGCCCCAACCTGCGTTCCCTGCCTCAAGGGGCAGCAGTGCGCCGCCCCTCACTCCTCCGAGTTTCCTCCGACAGATGCTCCACTGCAGACTCTTCACATGGACGTGTGGGGCCCCGCCCGCGTCCGTGGCCAGGGTCACGAGCATTACTTCCTGTTGATGGTTGACGACTATTCGCGTTACAACACGGTGTTCCCCTTGCGCAGCAAGGGTGACGTCACTGTGGTGTTGATCGGCTGGATCTGCGCCGCTCGTCTCCAGCTTAGAGAGAGTTTCGGCTCGAACTTTCCTGTTCTGCGTCTGCACTCTGACAGAGGCGGGGAGTTTTCCTCTGCCCTTCTGGGAACCTTCTGTCGTGCACAGGGCATCCGCCAGACCTTCACGCTTCCGGCCTCTCCACAGCAAAATGGGATTGCTGAGCACCGCATTGGCATGGTCATGGACGTTGCTCGTACGTCCATGATCCATGCGGCTGCTCCCCATTTTCTATGGCCGTTTGCGGTTGAGTACGCAGCGCATCAGATCAACCTTCAGCCCCGGGTCTCCTTGCCAGAGACCTCTCCCACCCTGCGGTGGACGGGGAAGGTTGGCGATGCGTCTGCGTTTCGTTTCTGGGTATCTCGGGCGTTTGTCCGCGACTTGTCTGCGGACAAGCTGTCCCCTCATGTTGTTCCCTGCGTCTTCCTTGGCTTCCCCCATGACGCGCCTGGTTGGCAGTTTTACCACCCCACCTCGCGCCGTGTTCTGTCCTCCCAGAACGTCACCTTTGACGACTCGATGCCTTACTACCGTCTCTTCCCCAACCGCACTGCGCCCCTCCCCCCGCCGCCACTCTTCCTTGCGCCAGGTCCCCCCCCCCGGTAGACCCTCTTCCCCCTCAGGGCCCTGCCCCGTCAGGTGTGTCCCAGGTAGACGCAGTCAAGCCTGTCGAGGAAGCTGTTGACTCTGGTGCTGCTAGGGGTACTGAGCCTAGGGGTGCTGACTCTGGGGGTGCTGAGTCTGGGGGTGCTGAGCCTAGGGGCGCTGAGCCTGGGGGTGCTGAGCCTAGGGGTGTGGAGCCTGGGGGTGCGGAGCCTGGGGGTGCTGGGTCTGGGGGTACGGAGCCTGGGGCTGCTGGGTCTGCTCGTTTGGCCTCTGCCGGTATTGGGTTTGGGGGCCCTTTGGGTACTTCGTCGAGGCGGGAGCTACCCTCTCCACAGGAGCTGCGCGAGTGGTTTGCCCGGCGCTGGAGCTGTGCTGCTGTAGCTGGAGGTGCTACTGTTGCTGCTGACCCTCTGGTCGGCACTGGAGTCACTGGAGCCACTAGTCCTGGAGGTGCTCGTACTGGCGGTACTGGAGCTGCTGGGATGAGGGGTGATGCTGGTGCTACTAGAGGTCCTGGAGGTACTGGAGCTATTGGGCCTGGAGGTGCTCCTGGTGCTGGAGCTGGTGGCGGAACTGGCGCTGGCGGTCCTGCTGGAGTTGGTGCTGCTGGAGCTGCTCGAGCTGGAGCTGTTGGAGCTGTTGGAGTTGGAGCTGCTGGGGGTGTTGGCGCTGGAGATGCTGTTGGCGCTGGTGCTTCTGAGGGTGCTGGAGTTGGCACTGTTGGAGCTGGAGGTGCTGCTGGCGCTGGTGCTGCCGTTGGGGGTACTGGTGCTGTCCCTGCTGGTTCTGGAGGCGCTGCGCGGTCGCGGCCGTACTTCGTTCCGCTACTTGAGCAGGTTCTTGGTCTCCCGCCTTCGACTGGTCCTGCTCCTCCCTAAGAGTGTCCACGGCCTTTCCAGTCGCAGTCACAATTACAGCCCGCCTCCCCCCTGCCTGCTCCTTCTCCCTACACTGGTCCTACTGGAGGTCTTGCTGAGCGTCGTGAGCCTGCGTCTCATCCTGCGTCGCCTGTTCGTGCTGCTCGCACTAATAGTCGTGCTCTGCGTCCGCGTCCTCCTGCGGTCCCAGGCACACACCAGATGGCACTGCGTCCTTCCACTGCTCCTTTGCGTGTCCCGTGGCCGTCTCCTCCACAGTCCTCTCTTCCTGTTCTTGCTGGCCCGGAGTCTGACTCTCTTCGTGCTGCCAGTCCTACTGTCACGCGTCTCCTAGCCACTGTTGTCACTGACCCTTCCTTTAAGTCCACTCTGCGTCTGCCTTGGTTGCTGAGCTTGTCGACTTTGCTGCTCGCTGTCGTCTAGACTACGCCGCTAGTCTTGTTGGTGAGTCTGAGTCTGTCTGTCCTCCGTCTGTCGGGGGTGAGTGTGCTCTTAGCACGGACTTCCTTGAGCACAGGCAGGAGGAGTTCCACGCTGCTGCTTTGCCTCATCTCGTGTCCACGCTGATTGCCCCAGAGGGAGACCCGGATGCACCAGACATCTCGACTCCTCGATCGTACGCTGAGGCGATCGAGGGTCCCTACTCCTCACAGTGACAGTCAGCCATGGACGCGGAAATGGCTTCCTGGAAGTCCACAGGCACCTACGTCGACGAGGTTCCCTCACCTGGGGCAAACATCGTCAGTGGCATGTGGATTTTCAGGGTGAAGCGGCCGCCGGGTTCTCCGCCTGTCTTCAAGGCACGTTACGTGGCTCGAGGCTTCAGTTAGCGGCAGGGAGTTGACTACTTTCATACATTCTCTCCCACCACGAAGATGACCACTCTTCGGGTGCTGCTGCACATAGCTGCTCAGCGCGACTACGAGCTTCACTCTCTTGACTTCAGAACAGCTTTCTTGCAGGGGAGCCTGCACGAGGAGCGCCGCCACCTGGCTTCACTGGGTCGTTTCCTCCTTGTACCCAGTGGAGCCTCCGGCGGCCAGTCTACGGTCTCCGCCAGGCACCCTTTGAGTGGCACGACACACTGAGGACTACACTTGCGGCTCTTGGGTTTGCTCCTTCTACTGCCGACCCGTCGCTGTTTCTCCACACCGACACCTCTTTGCCGCCGTTCTACATCCTCGTGTACGTCGACGACTTGCTCTTAGTTACTGCTGACACTGCTGGACTCGCCCGCGTGAAGTCGGAGCTACAGAAGAGACACACGTGCACAGACCTGGGTGAACTACGCAGCTACCTTGGCTTGCAGATCACCCGGGACAAAGCAAAGCGCACCATTACCCTGACTCAGTCACACATGGTGCAGCAGGTCCTTCAGCGCTTCGACTTCACGTACTCCTCGCCTCAGGCCACTCCTTTGTCTACTCGCCACTCGCTCTCAGCTCTGCCTTCGGATGAGTCCGTAGAGCCGGGTGGCCCGTACCCAGACCTTGTTGGCTGCCTCATGTACGTGATGACCTGCACTCGACCTGACCTTGCAAACCCTTTTAGCATCTTGGCACGCTATGTTGCTCCTGGGAGACACCGACCAGAGCACATGGCTGCAGCGAAGAGGGTGTTGCGCTACTTGTGCAGTACGTCGGGCATGGGGCTAGTGCTTGGAGGGCGACGTTCAGTGGTCCTCAGGGGTCACGCAGACGCTTCTTGGGCTGATGACCAGGCTACACAGCGGTCGTCGCAGGGTTACACCTTCAGCCTTGGTTCCGACTCTGTTTCGTGGCGGTCTACCCGCTCGTCTTCTGTTCTCGGCTCCAGCTGTGAGGCTGAGATCTACGCGGGGGCCATGGCTGCACAGGAGCTACGCTTGCTCACCTACCTGCTGACTGACCTAGGAGAGCCGCCTCGTTCTCCTCCAGTTCTGTACGTAGACAACAAGGCCATGCTGGCCTTGTGTCGGGAGCACAGACTAGAGCACAGAACGAAGCAAATTGCTCTTCGTTACTTCCTTGCTCGTGAGCTGCAGCAGCGTGGTCAGCTGCGCCTTGCTTATGTGGCCTTTGAGGCCAACACTGCTGATATCTTTACCAAGGCACTTGCGCCTTGTGATCATGAGCGCTGCTGTATGATGCTAGGTCTTGTGCCTACTTGGCCTCACTTGCTCACTTCTTTACCGTGCTTGTACTGTGATCTATCTATACCTGCACTTGCTTTTTTACCTTTATATATGATCTTGCATGTGAACTGGCCTTGTGGCCTTGAACTTGTGCTCGGAATGTGTTGTGACGTTGTGATCTATCATGAGCTTGCTTTGCTTTGCTTGACTGGTCTTGTGACCTCTTGTTCTTCCCCACTTTGCCTATGGGGGTGTGTCAAACTTATCTGCTATAGTATATGTAGGCTGTAGTGGGGTAGACAATATGGGGTACAACACTTATAGGTTTTCCTCCTTGTACCCACCTGTGTCCTAGTGCATTCATTCCTCATTTCTTCACACATATGTGTTTGCAATACATCATTTTGAAAAAGTGCGCAAACTGTTGTTTTCAGCCCAACAACTGTTGTCTCCGAG